CATTTGTACCTGAGCAAAGATGTCTGGAGCTTTTCACTATCTGAAAACTTCTGTGTTTTCGTCATTCTCTCTTCCCTTTCTGTTTTTGTGAAGATATCCTTACTCCCTTTGCTTCCAAAATACAGTGTTCTATCCCACCCTCTTGATTTGCTCTGACTTCCTTCATTAGTTGTCCTCTTTGTTTTAATTATTAACTTCTCTACCTCAGATTCTTATTTTGTCTTCAGGATCCATTTCAAGTTGCATTTTTCTTATGTAGCCTATATTGAAATAATGAGAATTAAGTGTACTTTCTTCTGTACTTTGTATTTCTGTTATAAAAATTATTTTGTTGTCATTGTTAATCCTTACTCGAGGATATTTTTCCATTAATTTTTAGAGAGTGGAAGGGAGAGAGAGATACAGAGAGAAACACTGACGTGAGAAAGACACATTGATTGGTTGCCTCCTGCATGTGTCTGGACCAGGGCCGGGGATTGAGCCTGCAACCGTGACCAGAATTGAACCCTGGACTCTCCAGTCTGCATGCTGATGCTCCATCCACTGAGCCAAACCTATTGGGGCTAAGATTGTTCTATTGTATTTTGACTAATTATAACACACTTTGAATATTTAAATCTTCTAGTCAAGAAATACTATACTTTAGCCATAGCCGGTTTTGTTCAGTGGATAGGGCATTGGACTACAGGCTAAAAAGTCCCAGGTTCCATTCTGGTCAAGGACACATGAACTGGTAATGGGCCCCATCCCCAGTAGGGGGAGTGCAGAAGGCAGCCAATCAATGATTCTCTTTCATCATTGATGTTTCTCTCCATCTCCCTTCCTCTCTGAAATCAATAAAAATATTAAAAAATGAAATACTGTACTATATTTCTAAATCTGTAGCATTGTGAGATAATATATTTTGAACTCTTTCATTATTGTGATTTTTAGGTCATTGAACATATTTCTAAACCCTGATTATTTCTATTCAAGTTACTTTTCATTAAATTTCACTAACCCTTAGAATTCTAACTGCAATGATGTTAAGTTAAATCATGGACTAGTTTTCTCCTCTAATGGCACATTAATAACAAGTGCTGGTGAGGATGTGGAGAAAAGGAAACTCTAGTACCCTTCTGGTGGGAATGCAGATTGGTGTAGTCACTGTGGAACAGTGTGGAATTACTCAAAAACTTAAAAATGGAACTACTGTTTGACACAGTGATCCCACTTATAGGAATTTATTCTAAGAAGTTTGAAAGACTCACCAAAAAGAATATTTGCACCCCTATGTTCATAGCAGTGCTATTTACAGTAGCTAAGATCTGGAACCAACCCAAGTGCCGACTAGTAGACAAATGGATAAAACAGCTGTGGCACATTTATACCATGGAATACTATGCAGCTGTAAAAAAGAAGGATCTCTTACCCTTTGAGATAGCATGGAGGGACCTGGAGAGTATTATGCTGAGTGAAACAAGCTAGTCAGAGAAAGACAAATATCACATGATGTCACTTATAAGTGGAATCTATGGAATATAATAAATTGGTGAACAAAATAGATCCAGAGACATGGAGGCATGGAAAAGACTGACATATCTCAGAGGGGAGCTGGGTGGGGGGGAGGGGGGGGGAGTTAGGGAGGAGATGGGAAAAGATTAACCAAAGAACTCATATACATATAAGCAAAACCAATGAACACAGAGAATAGTGTGGTGAAGGCCTGGGGTGGGGCAGGAGCTGTGAGGAGGGAGATGGAGGGAGAGGAAAAAATAGGGGATATCTGTAATACTATCAACAATAAAAATTTAGAAATCTCTTATCAGTTGTAGATTATAACCCAGGACTGCTTCAGCAAAGCCAACTGAAGAAAACTTTGTGTATTATTTCTTGATAGGTACTTGTTTGTTGTAATTTTTATTCTTTACACCAATGTTCCTTCTTTGCCTCCTATTTTTTTTATAGCTGGCCCTTTAACATTTCTTGCTTTGCTGGTTTGATGGTAATAAACTCCCTTAGTCCTTTTATTGTCTGTGAAGCTTCTGATTTCACCCTCAATTTTGATTGAGAGCCTTGCTGGGTACAGTATTCATGGATTCAGACCTTTGCTTTGCATGACTTTGTGTAGTTCATTCCATTCCCTTCTGGCCTAAAATCGGTCGCTAATCTGATGGGGGATCCTTTGTAAGTCACTTTCTGTCTCTCTCTGGCAATATTTAAGATTCTTACTTTTTTGTTTTTTGTTTGCCAGTTTAATTTTAATGTGCCTTGGTGTCCCTCTTTTGGGGTTCATTTTGTTTGGGACTCTGTGAGCTTCTTGGATTTGTGTGAGTTTTTTCCTTCCCTATATCAGGGAAATTTTCTGTCATTATTTCTTCAAACAGGTTTTCTATTCCTTGTTCAGTTTCCTATCCTTCTGGCACTCCTATTATGCAGATGTTGTTTTGTTTCCTGATGTGCCAAAGTTCTCTTAGGGTCTCCTCCTGTTTTTTTAAAATTTTTTTTTTTTCCTAGATGCTGCTCTGCTTGGGTATTTTGTCCTCCCTTGTCTTCTAGCTCACTGATGTGGTATTCTGCCTCTTCTAGTCTACCTTTGATACTTTCTATTGAATTCTTTATTACAGCAATGTCATTTTTCATTTCTTCTTGGTTCTTCATTTCCTCTTGGTTCTTAGACATATTGTTGAATTTGTCTTCCAACCTTTTCAGCGACTCTATAACCATTTCTCTGAATTCTTTCTCTGACAGGTTGCTTGCCTCTATTTTGTTTACTTCATTTTCTGGTGATGCTTCCTTTTCTTTCATATATGGTCTATTTCTTTGTCTCCCCATGATCTCTCTTCTTTGGGTGTTTGGTTCTGTAGCTTTCTCTCTCCTTTCCCTTAGGTGAAACCTGACCTTTCTGTGAGAAGGTGCAGAGCTTGTCTGAGTCCACTTATTCATGCTGTTTAATATCCAGTTTTCCTCCACTTTTCTTTAAACATAAATCTTACAAACTCTTGGAATATCTTCAACATCAGTTTTTTTTCACAGATCTTGGCAATTAATAGGTGGATGCAGGGTGCAGTGTGACACAGTGGTTCAGAGCTTGGACCATATCCTTACCCTGGGCCTCCTCTTCCTCATCCTCCTGGGCTGCAGCTCCTCTGGAGGAGTGAAGGGTTGCAACCCTGCCTCAGGTGCTCAGATTTTAAGACCTGCACCTGTGAGATGCGATCCAAGTTTTGGCATTGACTAGCAATGGCTCCTGGTGTCTAGGGGCCACTTGTGTATTGTTCCTTATATTCTACCATAGTGATGATGTTCTTACTCCTTTTGTGTCTTAATAGTCAAGTGCTCTTGGCATTAATATCATTGGCTTCAATTTTTGGCTGTAGGGCTTAGTTGTTTCTCTTAATATATACATAACTTATTTAGAAAGCATTTAGGCTACAAATGGTTGTGTAACTGGGTCTTGTTTCTACTGATTTATCAAGTATATCCAAAATCTCTACAGAGCTAAAATAATTTGGGGCCTAACTTTTCTAACTTTGGACCTGGGTTAGGACCCACATTTTTTTCTCCTTTATTTTCATCTTCATGGTTTTGTAGAAAGATACCTTCTTTAACTTGTAATCTCACTACAAAATTAATAACATTAACTTTTAAGGAGAGAAATGCATAAAAAGTTTGAGAGTAATAAATTTTCTAATATTACCAAATAGTGTGACTAGTATTGTCGAAGAGAAATTTTCCTTTAGATCAAGTATATCAAAGTCATGGCTGGCAGGCCACATGTTTAACATGCTTGCTTTAGATCCATTGTTTCCATCATTTGTATGTAAATATCTCAGAAATCAGTGGGTCTAGTGGTTTCTTCATGCCATATTGTCCAGTCATTTTACACATTTAAACTTTTAATCCAGGATTTAGATTAGTTCATTCAAATATTTATTGAATTTTTATCATTGTTTAAAGCACAGATCTGGGCCTTTGAGAATGTTGCCTTTCCAATCAGCAGTTCTAATTGGATTGATAAATATTGATAATGCCAAACTAAAAACAAGTACCAAATGAATTATATTTGAGATAAGTGTTTGAAGGGTTTTTAAAATGGAGAGGTTGAGGGCCTATCCTTCAAACCTAATAAGCATAAAATCTTTCTCATGAGGTTAGTCATTTGGTCACCAGAGATGTTCTGAGAACATATTCCTTTTGAGGAGGATACAAATTGTGTGATTATTCATTTCAGGAATTAAAAATCAATATATTTAATAGAATTCAGCATGTTGTCCTTACTAGACAGTTTCCTTTTAAATTAGTAAAATTGCCACATAATGAAGTGGGAAAGAGGGTCACTAACTTGTATGTTGGAAGACCTGAGTCCTTTGACTTGTTAGCTATGCATTTGGGCTAACTTGGTTAAACGTCAATCTTTTTATCTGTAAAATTGGGATAATAAAGATGACTCTGCTTATGCTCAGAGATTTATTGTGAGAAATTACTACAATTAAAATTGGCCAACCTTAATTAAGTGCCTGTTATATTATGACATGGTGGTCATTAGAATACATTTTGGAGCTCCCTAACCTAGCAGAGTGAAAGTGAAGTAGCATTGTAGCTGAAGACATTTTGTAAATTGTCAGTTACTCTCTGATTGTATAGTGGCTTCTCCTAAACTGGACTGCTTTCTGGTGGCTTAGAACACATTGTACACTCCTCCCCCAAAGACAGCTCAGGCTGTTCCCTTTGTTCATTAAAATCTGCTCATCAGGTTTTAATTTTCAGGTAATTTTCTCATATTCCTAGACAGACCTGATTTCTCCTCTATGCCAATAATTTTTTTAATAACAAAACCAGAAATTTTAGTTATATGTGAACATAATTTGGCTGCCTGAGGTAAAAATCTTTATCATTTATCTACCAGATTTCACAATGTCTACTGTTAATAAAGGCACTTGGTAAAATTATCACCTAATTCAGTGAAATATGTGAAATGTGGATCCTTAATAATGTCTCTTATTGTGTTTGATTTTCAGGTTAAAACTTCAACAACAAATTGTGAATATTGAAAATGCAGAGAAAGAGAAAAATGAAAATTCTGACCTGAAACAGGTATGCTATTTAGCAAACATTTTGCTTTTTTTTTTTGTGAGGTGAACGTGATAACCACTACACTATGGAAACCGCCTGCTTTTTTTTGGTAAGGGTTTTTTAAAATCTATGTCTTGAAGCTTATTTCATTTCAGGGTGTCCTCAAGGGCACATCATCTGAGTGGGGTATTTGTGAGGGAAGATGTTTAGTATCCTCTGCCGCTTTTATGCTCTACTAAATTTGTTTAGTGGCCTTAACATTTATCTTCTTCTCTTTTAAGCAAATCAGTAATTTGCAGATCCAAGTGACCTCACTAACACAGTCAGAGAATGAATTGCTGAATTCAAACCAAATACTGAAGGAAATGGTGGAGAGGTTAAAACAAGAGTGCCGAAATTTAAGAAGCCAAGCTGAAAAAGCACAACTAGAAGTTGAAAAGTATAGTTTGCTTTTTTTTTAAATTTTTTATGTACAATTATTTCTTCCCCCCCCCCCCCTGCTATATTATATATAGTTATTTCAATGATAAGTCCATGTTGAATGTGTTTTGGGAACTAGTTACAAACAGCCTTTGACAATATACAGTGGTCTGAGATAATGGGTTTTCTATTTCTAGAGAATGAACTTTATAGACTTTTGAATTCTTTTAATAATAATAAAAAAGACATTTATGGAAGAAGGCCTTTTAAATTTTTCCCTGACCACACTATTCTGAAAACTCTGAAAGAAAAATGTCTTTATTCATTGAGTTTACCAATATATTTTTTACTTCGTATATCTAAATTAGTCTTCTGAATGTCACATAGGTTGTATGTGTGACATTATCCCAGTAAGTTTGATTTTACTTGGGAGAATATCTGTTTAATCCTAAGAATTAATGTCCATGTTTTGCCTACATTTTTTCTGACAGGACATTGGAAGAGAAACAGATCCAGTGGCTGGAAGAAAAGCAAAAGCTTCATGAACGTATTACAGACCGAGAAGAAAAGTATAACCAAGCTAAAGAGAAACTGCAGCGAGCTGCAATTGCCCAGAAAAAGGCAAGTGATGCTTATTAGAGTGATTTCTACAGAGTAAAACATAATCAATTCTTTTAGGAGAATAAAATGTACAATGAAAACTGAGATTTTATTGGCTTAGTACTCAAATATGACATTTTATTTTCAACCTTCCAGAGATAAATTGGGAAAATCCAAATGGCTCAACAGATTTATTTCCAAATTTTTTGTACAGGTCAGTTTTTCAGAGCCAGCATGCATTTTTTTCACAGACTGTTTTTCAGTGATCAAGTTTCTAGACCAGCCCACACAAGTCTTATTTAACTCATTCTTCCTGTTGCAGCTTAACTAATACTTGTAATATTGTTTTTGTCGTTAAAATGCTTTTTTGTTTCCAACTCAGGAATATAGGAGCAAGTACCTTTTTGCCCTTCAGGAGGAACTAGAACCCCCCCTCCCCGCCCCCCCCCCCCGGCTTCTGAAACAGCTATGATAGTTCTAACAGCCACCCTCCTTTTAAGCTTCCCTTTTGCAGGCCTGTTTTCCCCAGAACCTAATAAATTTATTTTCTTATAAATAGTCCAGCGCATCCTGGAAATAATGCAATCAGATCATTCATCTAAGGCAGTGGTTTCAATTTTTTTTCTACTTCAACAAACCCAAGAAGTACAGCATGACCACTTTAGTAACCATCACTCACTGTGGCAGTGATTTAGCAGTTATTTTAACAAAATTGGTGCATGTGTGTTGGGATTGGGGTTGATTTATCATATTGGGGTTGATTTGACATATCTCCATTTGATAAGTTCCCTTGGTCATGGTATTTGCTTTGGGAGGTAAGAAGATCTGAGATGAGAGCAAGGTGCTTGTAGGCATAGCCACAGCAGTGTCAATATCTGAAAGCTGTTCACATTTGCATAAGAGAAGAGAACTATATATTATTTACATATTTTGATTGAGAAACCTGAGGACACAGTTCCTAGTCACCTACTTATGTATTAAATATAACTGCCAAATGCCTTCTGATAGTTATAACACGAGAAGTCTAAAAGTTACTACCTCTCTCTTTTTGTAGTTTCTGAGTATTACTATTTTCTTCCCATAATACTAAAAGTAGTGTGATACTGAGATTAGAAAACAGCATTTACAAACGGGAATTCCAGTGTTTTATATTCAAATATAAAGACTTGTGTTGTTTTTCCCTTTGTATATCACTTTTCCCCCCCTTTAAGGCCATGGAAGTTCTGTGCATCATATGGGTATTGCTGGGGTTTCAGTGCAGTTTATTATGGCTTGGGATGATCTTAGAAAGTATTTATGCTTTCTTGTACTATTTGAAGCCTAGATGACTCTGAAGCCAGATGTTAGCTGGAAACCACTAGAAATTATAAGAGCTGATTTGATCTTTCACAGATAAATTTTGTGTTGTAGCTTTAGAGAAAAGTATTTTAGAGTAAGATTCTAATTGAGGTTAGTTTGGGTTGACTTCTTTTGGAGCAAAAGTGACATCCAGTGGTGAGAGAGATTATCAACTAATCACAGGTATACCAGAAAGAGAGAAGGAGGTGATATTTAAGAAGCCTGCAAAATAATCCCTTCATTAATGTTGTGATCTTGTATGAATTATTTTCAAGTAATGGGTATGAACGTAATAAATTTCCATTTCACTTTTCAAAAAGTGTGGATTATGGTTTGAAGTCATGGAAATTGTTAAGCTCAACTGAGTGAATATTATGAATTGTTCCGTCACAAGGGACACTGCCCTAAAGACTTACAACTTTTAAGTAGATACAATTTTAGAGCTGGGAGGACTTTAGCACTCAGAGATAATAGTTTTTACAGATTAGGAAACTGAAGGGGTAGGTAGCCAAGATCACTTGACTGCTAGAATCCTGGCCATGACTAAAACCTCCATCTTCCTATTCACAAGCCTGTGCTCTTTTTGCACCATTACTCTTTTAATTTCCCACTTTCTTTTATTCCATATGCTTTGATTTTATCTTCATGGTAGCCATAATATACATAAGTATTATTTTCTATGGCAGAATAATCACTAGAAAAACAATTTAACTCAAACCTTATACTGCTTCTATATGAAAATTTTGGCTATAAGATTAAATAAATATAATTCATAAGAGTGCAACAGACTTTTTGGATGTTTTAACTGATACAGATTTTAAGTTTCTTATGCATTAATACTAAAACAAGTGATAAAATATTAACTCCAGGGCAGAAATCGTAATTCTTTAGAGTTACTTTCCTGTAAGAGGTTCTTAAAGCTGGGGAATAGCAGCTTTATTTTCCCCCAGGCTGGATAAGATGGCTTACTGTTTTTGTGATTCCAACCTCCTAAGCACAAGATTGTGTCATTTCTGGTAGCATCTTTGAGTAATAATATTTGCTGTAATTTTCTTGGAAAAGCTTGACCAGCCACCTGAGTTGGGAGGCTCTTCTTTATCGCTTCTCCACACATTCTTGAAGTACGACTATGCAGAGAGATCGGTTGGTATGAACGCAATGAGTTGTTCTTTTCTTTTTGAAGCACTTGAAGTAACAATACAAATACTTATTTGTATTCTAAGGTGTATATCTATGAAATAATTCCAGGTTAGATACTGTTATGGCAGGCTTATAAAAAAAAATGCACCGTAGACTTGAAGTTGTAAAATGTCTGTTGACTCTGTTGGGCAGCCTAGAGTTATTCTGAGGGGAAAATAAATACCATGACTGACTCCTGCCCTGAAGACTTGACAAAATAACTTTAAATGTAAATGGACTAAATGCCCCAATCAAACGACATAGGGTAACTGAGTGGATAAGAAAACATGACCCATATATCTGCTGTCTACAGGAAACCCACCTCAGAATAAAAAATGCACACAGACTGATGGTGAAGGGATGGAAAAAAGATTTTCTAGGAACATGGAAATGGAAGAAAAACTGGGGTAACAACACTTATATCTGAAAAATTAAATCTCAAATTGAAGGACATAACAAGAGATTAGGAAGGCCACTTCATAATACTAAAGGGAGCAATCCAACAATAAGAAATAACTCTGGTAAACATATACGCACTCAATATAGGAGCACCCAAATACATTAAAAAACTTCTGGAGAATATGAAGAGAGAGATTGACAGCAATACAATCATAGTAGGGGACTTTAATAACCCACTATCACCATTGGACAAATCTTCTAAACAAAAAAATCAGCAAAGAAACTCCAATTCTAAATGACTCACTACATCAGATGGAATTAATTGACATCTTCAGAACATTCCAACCAAAAGCCACAGAATATACATTCTTTTCAAGTGCACATGGGTCATTTTCAAAGACAGACCATATATTGGGTCACAGACAAAATCTCTTCAAATTCAAGAAGATAGAAGTCATATCAAGCATCTTCTCAGATCACAGTGGCATCAACTACAATGAAAACATTAAAAAAAAAAAAATCAAACACCTGTAGGCTAAATAGCATGCTACTAAACAATGACTGGATTACTAAAGATATCAAAGAAGAAATAAAAAAACTTAATGGCAACAAATGACAATGAAAACATAACAATCCAAAATCTATGGGAAACAGCTAAAGTAGAGGGAATTTCATAGTTCTGCAAGCTAACTGCATAAAACAAGAAACAACAATAATAAATTTCCTAACCCTAGAACTCAAAGAGTTAGAAAGTGAGTGACAGGAAAAGTCCAGCGTAAGCAGAAAGAAGGAAATAATAAAGATCAGGCGTAGATAAACAACATAGAGACCAAGAAAAAAAAATTACAAAAAGATCAATGAAACCAAGAGCTGGTTAATTAAAAGGATAAACAAGATTGTTGAACCTCTAGCCAGGCTTACCAAGAAGCAGAGAGAGAGGACCCAAATTAACAAAATCAGAAATGAAAGGGGAGAAATAACAACAGACCCCATAGAAATACAAAGGATATTTAAAAAAATACTATGAACAACTCCAACAAACTGGACAACCTGGAGGAAATGGACATATTCCTAGAAAAATACAACCTTTCAAAACTCAATCAGGAAGAATATAAAAATCTCAATATGCCAATAACTATGGAAGAAATTGAAGTAGTAATCAAAAACCTTCTAGCATACAAAAGCCTGGCCAGACAGCTTCACAGGAGAGTTATACCAAACATTCAAACTAAAACCTATCCTCCTCAGACGGTTCCCAAAAATTCATGCGGAAAGAACATTTCCTAGCTCATTCGATGAAGCCAGCATCATCCTAATACCAAAACCAAATATAAACAACACAGTGAAAGAGAATTATAGGCCAATATCCCTCATGAACATAGAAGCCAAAATCCTCAACAAAATTCTAGCAAATCGGGTCCAGCAGTACATCAGAAAGATCATACACTATGATCAAGTAGAGTTTATCTTCAGGATGCAAGGATGGTACCATATCCGCAAATCAATAAATGTGATACATCACATAAACAAATTGAGAGATAAAAATCACATAGTCATATCAATTGATGCAGAAAAAGCATTTAACAAAATCCAACACCCTTTCTTGATAAAAACTCTCAGCAAGGTGGGAATAGATGGATCATGCCTCAACATAATAGCCATTTATGAAAAACCCGCAGCCAACATCATACTCAATGGGCAAAAACTAAAACCATTTCTCATAAGAACAGGAACAAGACAGGGATACCCACTCTCACCACTTTTATTTGACATAGTACTGGAAGTACTAGCCATTGCAATTAGAGAAGAAGAAGAAATAAAAGGCATCCAAATTAGAAAAGAAGTAAAGCTGTCCTTATTTGCAGATGACATGATATTGTACATAGAAAACCCTAATGATTCCATTAAAAAAAAACACTAATAGACATAATAAATGAATTTGACAATGTAGCAGGATACAAAATTTATGCCAAGAAATCTGTGGCATTTCTATATACCAGTAGTATATTTGCAGAAAGAGAGACTAAAAAACCAATACCATTTATCATTTCATTAAAAAAAATTCAAGATATGTAGGAATAAACTAAGGAGGTAAAAGACATACA